AAATAAATAAATAAATAAAAAGAAGGTTGCGCATGTTGGGGAACTGATCCTCCCGCAGCAGAAAACAGGAGTCTCTTCCCTTCTCCCTTGGAAATGGCAACCTTAGTTACTTAGTGACTCTCCCTGCAGGCCCTTTCTCTGTAGATGCAAACAGCCCTGGGCTATGAGAGTAAACATACGACACAATCATATGGCTGGCATGTGACCCATCTGTTGTTCTGGATGCGGAGATGCAGGGGCTCCTGGCAAGGTCACACCCACACCCTGGCCACAGGAGCCACGCTGCCCCAACTCTGAGTCCTCCTCCCCTCCTGCCATCCAATATATTCACTTGGTGACCACACTTGGTTTTCTTATTGCTCACCAAGCCCTGCGCTGGGATGTGGGCCCCTTGGGGCATCCAGGGTGCAGGGAGGGTGGCTGGGGATGCAGGGCACCCACCTGCGACTCCCACGTGATTCTCCACAAAGCGGATGTAGTTCTGGGCCTGCGGGGGCAGGTCCTCCCACCTCCTGGCGCCTGTGGTGTCTGCTTTCCAGCCAGGCAGCGTTTCATATTCGACTTCGACCTTCTGAAGCATCTCCTGGTTAGCTGGGGGAAGCGCACAGGAGATGAGTGGGGCCCACAGACCTCTCTCCTATCACCAAGGAAGCAAATATTTGGTGACACGGCCACCCCCATCCAGGGCCTCCTTGTTCAGGGACTCAGCAATGAGGAAGGCAGCAAGTGGGCACGTGGCCCAGTTTGATTTTCTCAGTGTTGGGTGGTGAGCAGGGGACAGCAGTGGGGCTCAGACACTGACTACATGCCTTCCAGACCAGAGGGACATGACACATATGTGCTACCCACTCTGCTAGAACCTCCACTGTGACATCAGCTGAGGCACTCCAAGCCTTGGCTTGGAAATTCTGAGACTCTAGAATCCTGAAGCACTAAGGGATCCTGAAGCATCTATGTCCTCCCACCCCAAGAACATCAGCTCCCAGAGGGCAGGGACCTCCGCTCTGTGCAGGACTCTGTGGCTCATGGTAGAAGACGACCACCCTTACAGATGGAAGATGCTGGAACACAGGTTCTCGCTGCAAATGTGTTTGAGCCTTGGAGCCAGGCAGTGTTTGCATGTCCTCCTGGGACCCTGGACCACCATGAGGAGACCTTGCAGGCCTCAGCAGTGCATCCTCTCAAAGGTCAAGGGTCAGGAGGTTCAGGGACACTGCCTGCAAGGACACACACGGCTCCTGTGGCCAGGTGGCCCTCTGTGGTCTACACAGATCTGCTGAATGGAGACCAGCCAGGGGCAGCTCACCCAGGGCTGCTGGGGAGGAAGCCATTGTGGGGGTCAGAACATGACCCTGGACTGAGGTTGAGGGGGCACGTCCAGATGCACACGAAACTGTGAAACCCAGGAAAATGGCATCTCCTTCATGCTTTCCAGAAGAAGGGGTACACGGGAGCAGGGATCCCAGTTAGATCTTTAAAATCTCACCACAAAGCATATTTTCTCAGATGAAATAGTCATCCTGTACATCTGGATAGAGCTTTAGGTTTTCCAGAGCTGACTGCATCCACTAACTCCTGTGTGCCTCCCGTGGCTCCCTGCGGGTGGGCCTTTTCCCTAAGGCAGCTGAAGGACCCCCAGGGTCCCAGGCGCGTAGTCTGTCCCCCTTGCCATTCCCACAGCACTGGAAGGCGCCTGCAGCCACCCCTGCCCGGCCAGGCCTCCCGGGGAACATTGTGGTGAGAAACCCATGAGAGGCAAAAGCCATGATGGAGGCTGGTCCCTGGAGGCAAGCTGCTTGCCCTGTGTCCTGTGAATGTGGGAACTGTCCCCTCTCTGAGAAGTCACAGGTCCCATCTATTCCAATACCCATGAAACGGCCCAATGGGCAGAACGTTCGGCCCAATGGGCAGAACGGCTGCCCCACTTCACATACCTGGGAAATAGGGAATCCTCTTCCCGTTCAGCTTGTACGAGATGCCAACTTTAATCTCACCCAGTACATCCAGGATGTCTAGCTTCGTCAGGGCCAGCCTGTGGAAAGCCAAGGGGCCAGGCAAACCCACGAAGTGGTCAGCAATGCTGAGGTTTCTTCCATTTGCTTTTCACCTCTCACTTCTGTTATTTATAGCAGGGGTCCCCAGTCCCTGGGCTGCGGACCAGTACTTGGTGGTGGCCTGTTAGGAACTGGGCTGCAGAGCAGATGAGTGGCAGGCAAGCTAGCACTACAGCCTGAGCCCTAGCACACGGCGAGGCTGGCGCCATGAACCCTGCGTTGCACATAAGGAAAGTGAGGGTCAGGGACCCCAGACGCCACACCCTCAGCTACTAGGTTCCTCTGCTTCCTGTTGCCGGGTTGGCTCTACCCACCCAGGAGGGGTCTGGTTAATTCTCGAGGAATTTTGGCTGATGCTGTCAACCCTGGTGGAAGATGTGTGACTCACAGCCTTGGCCTGTCTGACTGAGCTGGAGAGGAAGCCGTGAGCCCAGCCATCACGCAAAGCCTCTTTCTGATCCCTGGGAGACAGCCTGAACAGCCGGGGAGACAGCCTGAACAGCTGGGGAGCCTGAGCCAGTCTGTGAGGAGCAGAGGGGCCTGCAGAGTGGACGCCTCGACAGGCCGGCACCAGTGCTTCTGTCCTCCTAGCAGGATGACGGTGCATCCTTTCGTCCTGGGGACTTCCGGTCTCCACATGAAGCATTTTAACCTTTTACAAGCGCCGGAACGCCCTCATCCTTCACGGCATCAGCCCTGGGGTGGGAGTTTGTGCTCCCAGGGCTGGCTGCAACACACCCTGCACAGGCCTCCATACCGCTAACCCCTGGGCCGTGCTTTGTGGAAGGGTCGAGATCAGTGGGAAACCTTGTCCAAGGAGACTTGGTGGCCCTCAGCCCCTGCGTCAAGTGCTGCTTGCCTCTGCAGGTGTCGGGAGTCAGGGACGGTCCCAGTGGGGATGGCAGCAGCATGGGTTGCTTACGCAGTGAATCCATTGACCATGTGAGCATATCTCAGAATCATCAGGTCGAGCCAGCCACAGCGCCTCTTCCTGCCTGTGGTCACCCCCCACTCGTGGCCGCGGGTCTGCAGCAGGTCTCCAATCTCCTACATGAGAACAGGGCAGATGTCACGTGGACTGTGGTGGGGGCCTTGTGCGGCCTGGCCCTGCTGCTCCCCCACCTCCCCCTTCCCACACGCAGATCTCAGAATCCCTGAGGCTGCCCCGCCTCCACCGACAGTCCTTACGTCCAACTCCCCTACATCCCCATGTCCATGGTAAGCCTGTCCGGCAGCTGAGGCTCACAACGGGCAGGGCCTGGCCCACAGTGCCGTGTGAGCCAGTGAGCACTCTTCCTGAACACACCAGACCACTAGGCTTTGTGAGCTGGGGAAGGCACCGGCAGCCTTGCCGTCTTCCCCTCCTGCCTTGGGCAGCTGGGGGAGGTGGGCCTGGCCCTGCAGCTTGGCTTTGGGGGTCAGGGGTATGTGTATCTCCTAACACCTATCCCTGCACCCTCTCAAGCCTCTCTGGAGAGCATCCGCCCCTCCCTGTGTTGGCTCTCCCAGCACCTGCCCTTCCTCCTGCTCAGGCACAAGGGCCATGCCCTTGCCCTACCAAGGGTCACAGGTTGAGGCTGAGAGAGGAAGGCTGGGGCCTCCTGAGGATTCTGGGGCCACAGCAGCTTCCAGAAACCTTCCTGAGGCTGGAGAGCTGGGTGGGGTTGTGGGGGCTGGCTTTCAGCCCCAAGTCTAGCTTGGTTGTGACAGAGGACCGCCCCCAACCTGGGGACAAGGCCGAGGGAAGGTGCTTAGTGTCCTCCCTGAGCCAAGGTGAGTCCACCAGCTACCCCAAGTGAGGGTGTCCTGAGGAGCTGCAAGGCGCCCCCACTTGCCTGTGGGCCTCACACTGCGAGGGGAGTGAGGTCATGTGTACATGTGTCCATGTGCACACCCTGTGTGAGCTCATGTGCTGCGGCCATGGGAATAGGCCCACCCCAGTGCCTCTTACTAAGCCCCACCCTGGCCTGCACAGCAGGAAGGGCCCTGGTAGGAGATGGGGAAATGGTACAGGCAGGGTCCCCACAGCCCCCACCCTGGCACTGCTCACCCCACCCCTGGCACCGCTGCCGGGCCTCCCTGTCCTCCCATGGGGTCCTGAGGGCCTCGGGACTCACGTTGATCTGTTCGGTGGGGAAGGCCCCGATGCCCACGCGTGTGGTATAGGCCTTCACCACACCATACACGTCACCTATGTTCTGCGGGGGAATGCCTAGGCCCGTGCACACGCCGCCCACGGTGCAGTTGGATGAAGTCACAAAGGGGTAGGTCCCTGCAAGACAGAGCAGGTTAGGGGGCTACCTGTCATCCCCTGTAGATTACTCCACCCAGCCCAAGAGGCCTTCTCAGTAAAGGGCAGCGGGCAGTTCAGACCATGGGGGGTCCCCTCCGTGGGGGTCGCTAGCCTGTCCTGGGGGAGTGGCTGAATGGGTGCTGTGTGCTGGGCTATGTGGCTCACATAAGAGTCTGGGGTGAGGGGAGGGAGAAAGTTGCCCACAGCATGGCCTGAGGTGGCCAGGCCGCCTTGGGGGTGAGGGTAAGCTGGTGCGCCTGTGGGGGTGAGGACAGGATATGGCTGTATAGACCGTCGGAAGGGCTGGCTCTGACCCACCTTGCCAGGCTCCCTGGCCCCACCCCTGACCTTGTCACCTTGTCACCCTATTCTTTCATCTCTAGCCCAGCCCTTTCTCCTCTCCCTTCCCTTGCTGACAATAGGAACACTAAGGACATGAGGATCATTTCCATGGGCATGGATGGCACTGTGGCCTTGGAAAGCGGGTCTGCCCCTCCCTCCCCCATCTGTTCCCACAGCTCTCCGCAGCTGGGTCTTCCCTGGCAGGCACGAAAGGTCGCTGGCACGCACATCCTCCCGGACATACCGAAGTCAATGTCGAGGAGGGCGGCGTTGGCACCCTCCACCAGGATCTTCTTGGGGGGGCCGTGGAGTGCCTCATACATAAAGTAAACACCATCTCGGACCATGGGTCTGATCCGCTCAGCAAAGCCCTGCAAGGAAGGACCAAGCAGCAGAGTGAGCCTGTGACCTGGGGCAGAGGAGTCCTGCGTCCCCAAGAAGGTTGGCCAGCCCATAACAATGCCTAATAACGGTTGTGCCCCAAGGGTGTTCAACAAGCACCAGGTAGGACAACCAGCCTCCCTGGAGGGGCACTTCGCAGCCCCCACGCTGCGGCCCCGGCTTCACCTTGAGCCTTTTGAGTTGGCCTTCAATGTCTATTTCCAGGGTGGGGAACATCGACTGGTGCTGGTGGGCCAGGTTCTTGAATCTGCACAAGGGACAGTCATTGTCACCCCGTCACAGTCCACGCTGGTCCTCAGGGCCCTCCCCACTAGCCACAGACCCTTCTGGCAACCTCTCCCCATCCTCTCCCGGGACTGCAGATGGCTCAGGTACCTGGAGGAAAACTCATCGAAATCTGACAGGAGGTCGCAGATGCGGAGGCCCGTCCGGGCAGCTTTGGAAGAGTAGGTGGGTCCGATTCCCTTCTTGGTGGTGCCTATACTGAAAGATGAGGAGGGGGGGTCCATGAGAACCCAGGAGCCCCAAGGAGCTCAGGCATCCCACTGAGGCCATGACCCCCGCCGGCTCATGACTCCAGTGCTCACCATTGCCGCCTGTGTCTGGCTGAGCTGTGAGTGTGTGCAGTGTGGGTGTATGCACTCGCATGGATGTATGTACTGGTATGGTGTGTGCCTGTGTGTGGATGTGTGCACACCGAGTGTGTGCCTGTGTGTGGATGTGTGCACACCGAGTGTGTGCACGTGTGTGAGTGTATGTAGGTGTGGCTGTGTGTACTTTTGTGCATTTGCGTGGGTGTGTGGGCTTGTGCGGTGCGTGCACATGTGCATACCTGTGCGAGCATGCGTGGGCGTGTGGTGTGTATGTGAGAGCACGAGTGTGTGCCCTTGCCTGTGTGAGAGTGTGAGTGGGTGTGTGATCACCTCTCTGAGGCAGGACACTCATCTGCTTCACTCCTGTGTCCTTGGCACATCTGAGGTTCTATAAACTTTTTTAGTGTTCCTCATGTCCTCCCTGGGGCCTGTGTGGAGTCAGGAAAGGTGGTGGGTGTGACAGGCTACGGTAGGGCTTATGCACTCCTGTGGGGGGCTGCGTGGCAGTGACAGCCAGCAAGGACAGTGTGCAACCCCAGAGAGAGACGGGCTGGCTCGTCCGGGGGTTGGGTGATGCACTGTGGAATTTTGACAGGTGCCATTCTCCAGGGGCTTTGAGTGGGTTGAGGTACCCTCCTCGTGCCCAGGACCAGACACACCCCACAGTCTACCAGCTTGCGGGCCCAGAAGGCTCCCTGAGGGTGAGAGTGTCCCGGCAGACTTACTTCTTCCCCTCTTGTGCCTGGCGCTGCACTTCCTGAAGTCCATCGACAGCCTGGTGAAAATCGAACACTGTCGGGTGGGCCAGGTGAGGGCACCAGGGAACGGGAGAGAAGCAGAGGACAGATGTTTACACATGGAACTCACCTCCTGCTGGCCTGAGTCTCCTGGGAAGGGGGTGGTCGAGATTTCAAAGAGGACAAACTGGGGTGTGACCGTGAGTGTCTGGGGCTCAGTTTCCCCATCTGCAAATGGGCTAGGGACCCCTGACCCAGCTCCCACCTTGAAGCTCTTTAAAAAGGATAATGTACAAGCTAACGGAGCCATGTGGAACAAGAAGGCCTTGGGGACTTCCCTGATCTTGGTGGCCGTGGAGGAGCAGGGCCGGCTGGCAATGGTGGGGGCAGGAGGGGCTGTTCCCTGTACCCCAGTGGGAAACGTACCAAGGTGGGCTCTGTCAGAGATGATGAGCCTCTTCTCCCAGTCCTTCAGGCCTGCGGGGACACGGCACGCAGGTGGGTCAGTGTTCACTGCAGCTCACACGTGAGAGGCCAAGGCTGGGCTAGCTCACCCGGCTCCCATCCGGGTAAGGCATGTGGGGGCCGACAGGGCCACCTCTGTTGCACAGCAAGCAGCAGGCCCGCCCCTCGTTGCCTGCTCCCCAGCTGAGGCTCCCGGACCCTCACTCCACCCCCTGCCGGGATGCCCACTCTCATGCCTGCAGGCTTCACCCCTCCGGGCTGGGGAGCCGGAGCTGGGGTGAGTGCCTGGCCTTCCTCCCTACCTGCGGCCACTCTGAAGGTGACCTGCCCCCTCAGGGCCTCAGTCTGGGTACCCCCTGGTGCCCATGTCCCCAGAATCACATTCTCCTTGCTCTTTTCACACCCATCCCGCCCTTGAGCCTGAGGCTGGAGCTCAGCGTCCTCCCAGACCCACTCAGGCTGCTGTCTGTCCCTACCCACACTAGGTCTGCCTTGCCCACACCCCCAGCTGGTGGGTCTCGCTCACTGCCTGCAGGCCTCTGTGTGCCTGGCCAGATGCTCCTCAGAGCCCCCAGGAGCCACATCCTTCCCTGCAGGCATAATTAGCCCAGCAGTCCCCACTTCCCACTGGGTGTCTGGTCCAGGTCCCTGGCTCCTTCCCAGACGTCCTGACCTGAGTCTGCAGGTGCTACCTGGCCCTGTGATGCCGAGGCCGCCAGCGTCTGAGGCCTCTGGGTTGCCTGGCTCACTCGTTTTCTGCACAGGTAGAGCCAGTGATGAGCTGAGCCAACTGTGTTGGGAACCCACCCCCGCCAGTCCCCTCCGCGGGAGAAACCCTCAGAGAGGCTCCAGCCAACACAACCTCTCAGGGCACCGTGTCTGGGACAGGGCAAGTCTGCAGGAGCTTGGACTTACCTTTCTTTTCATTCTTCTCTGCTTCCTCAAACAAGCCCGGCAAGTGGATGACCACCCCGTTGCCTGCATGAGAGACAGAGGCATGAGACAAGAGTTGTGTCCCAGACATTGGAAAACGTACATTAAGAACAGCATGAAGTGAATGGGTACAGTGGCTCATGCCTGTAATCCTGGCACTTTGGGAGGCTGAGGCAGGAGGATCCCTTGAGGTCAGGAGTTCAAAACCAGCCTGGCCCACATGGTGAAACCCCATCTCTACTAAAAATACAAAAAAAAATCTGGGCATGGTAGTGCGTGCCTGTAATCCCAGCTACTGGGGAGGCTGAGGCAGGAGAATCACTGGAACCTGGGAGGCAGAGGTTGCAGTGAGCTGAGATCCTGCCACTGAACTCTGGATGACAGAGTGAGTCTGTCTCAAAAAGCAAACAAACAAACAAACAAAAACAACCCAGCATGAAATGGGCACACCTATGTTCACAGCAGCATTATTCACAGTAGCCAAGAGCTGTCCATTGACAGATGAATGGATAAGCAGAACATCGTCTATCCATATGATGGAAAAGTATTCAGCCTTAAAATAGGAAGGAAATTCTGACACAGGCTGCAACGTGGAGGGGCCTCGAAGACATGATGCTGAGTGAAATAAGGCAGTTACAAACGGACACAAACAGGATGATTCCGCTTATATGAGGCCCCTGGAAGAGTCAAATTCATAGAGATCGAAAGTAGAATGGGAGGCACCAGGGGCTGGGAGAGGGAGACTGGGGAGTTGTTTGATGTTTCAGCATTTCAGTGTGTGAAGATAAGAAAGTTCTGGAGGTGGATGGTGGTGATGGTTGCAAAACAATCACATTCCTTGGTATTTAAGGAGCTGAAAATTGATGTCCCCGCAGAAACCTGCACGTGGATGTTTAGAAGCTCTATTCATAATCGCCGGAACTCGGCAGCAGTCAAGAGGCCCGTCAGTAAACAAAAGGAGAAGTCAGCGGTGGTCCCTCCAGACAGTGGAGTATTATTCAACACTGAAAACAAATGAGCTATCAAGCCATGAAAAGACGTAGATGAAAGTTAAATGCATATTACTGAGTGGAAGAAGCCAATCTGAAAAGGCAACATACTGTACAATTCCAACTCCAAGATTCTGAAAAAGGCACAACTACGGAGACCGCGTGAGTGGCTGCCGAGGGTTGAGGAGGGAGAGATGAACGGGTTGAGCTCGGAGGTTTTTAGGACAGTGAAAAAGTCTGTATGATGCTCTGGTGGCAGATACACAGCATACATTTGTCCACACTGGCAGAATGTACAGCACCAAGTGTGAACCCTAAGGTGACTGTGGACGCTGGGTGATGGTGATGCGTCAATGCAGGTCCATCGATTGTAACAAATGCACCACTCTGGTGGGGCATGGTGGCTCTTGCCTATAATCCCAACATTTTGCGATGCTGAGGCAGGAGGATCACTTGAGGCCAGGAGTTGGAGACCAGCCTGGGCAACATAGCAAGACTCCCATTTCTTAAAAAAAAAAATGCATATATGTACTAGCTGAGTGTGGTGGCACAAGCCTGTAGTCCTGGCTACTTGGGAGACTGAGGCAGGAGGATCCCTTGGGCCCAGTAGGTTGAGGCTGCAGTGAGCTAGGACTGTGCCATTGCACTCCAGCCTGAGTGACACAGCAAGACCCTGTCTCAAAGCAAAAAACAAAACACAAATATACCCCTGAGCTCTAAACCCTTTGCTTGAAGACGAAGCCCTTCAGGAACCCCTGCTGCCTCTCCAAGGAGCCTCCTTCCCTTTGCCAGTTCCCGCTGAGGCTGGCCATGGCACAGGCTCAGCTGAGGGAGACAGGACTTCAGTCCAGACAAGAGTGACCTGGAGTCTACGTAAGCCACAGTGAGCACAAAAGGTCACCCAAATGCCACGGCATCCTAAAATAAACACGTGGCAGAGGCCCGGAGTGTCGCAAGCTGAGGGTGTCTGTGTGAGCCCTGGCACGTCCTGCCACTTGCTAAGCGGTGCCTCCTTGGCCTTGTTTCCCGCCATGTGGGGCCCAGGGCTGGGCAGGACGGGGCTGGCGGCTGGAGAAGGCTTCCTGCAGCACAACCGGGAGTGGCCAGCTAGCGCTACTGCCCAGTCTGCCAGGGCCAGGGGCTCCTGCGACATGGCGGGCAGGCCACCTCACTGCTTAGGGCCTTCCTGCTGTGAACTAGGGACCATCCCCACACTGTCCTAACTCCACCGCTGGGAGGGCCAGGGACTGGGTCTGCACCCAAGGGGACGGTCTTGGGTGAGTCACTCCAGCTCAGCCCCTGATCACACATGGCCCCTGCGGCAGCCACCTCTGCTCTATCTTCCTCCCGCTGCTCACATTCGACGGGCTCAGGCCCATGCCATCTGCTGGGCACACACCTGAGGCGCCCGAGCCCCCACTTCCTGACAGGCTGAGAAGGGGTCAGATACGTCAGAAGGATGGCCTTGCTGTAGTCTGGAAAGAGCTGGAAGGGAAAGTACAAGAAGGGGCCTGGCTGGCTTGGCCACTGGGATCAGGAAAAGCTTCTCTGAGCAAGGGGGTCTTGGGCTGAGAGCTGAGGCCAGGGTGCACAGTGCAGGCTTCTGACCGAGAGAGGGAGGGAAAGAGAGCCACGGAACCCTGGGGGCAGAGGTGGCTCGCCTCTCGGAGCACTGAGTGGTCACCCGTGGCTGCAGTGAAGTCCACAGGGAGGGGCTGTGTCCGGACCCAGGAGGGGGCAGGCGATGTAGAAGGAGGTCCCTCTGCAGCATGGACTGGGAAGGGGCTGGAACCAGGCCTGCCAGGTGGCCACAGCAGCCCAGGCAAGAGGACAGCCATAAGGCCAGGAAGGGCACAGCCTTGTCCACATAGCCTGGTCGCTGCGCAGCGAGAAGCCAGGCCTGTCGCAAGCACATGCTCACTCACAGGTATGCACATGCAGTCACAGGCACATGGGCGTGTGGTCTCGCAGAGTGTGTGCACGCGAGGGATCAGGGATCAGGCACTCCCGCTCCTGCGGGTGGATGTGACTCTGCCCTCCTCCCATCAGCCCGGTGTCCTCTCAGCTGTGTTCCCAGCCCAGGCCTGGGCTATGCAGGTTTCTATGCACCAGTGCCTGGTGGGGCAGGTGGAGGCTGGGGTCCAGCCTCCTGCTAGAGCCGTCGTCATCAGGCTCTGGTACCCTGTACCCCTGCGAGTGGGGATCCTGGGCTGGCTGACACCCCCTTTCCTGCTCACATACAGGTGGGGGCAGGGTACTCACCAATGAAGGACACAGCCTTGGTGTTGATGATGCCGCTGGGCAGTAGGTGGAAGTCATACTCCTTCCCATCCACCACCACCGTGTGGCCAGCGTTGTTGCCCCCCTGGAACAGAAACCTGGCTGAGCTGAAGGCACTTGGGTACTGAGGACCCCCCGGACATGGACTGACCCACAGGGGCTTCCCCTGTCTCTGCAGGGCACTGCTCTTGGATTTTGGGGTGCCTGGCTCGGTGGCCAGCTCTGCTGCGTCTGCAGGACTGGGATGTGAGCATCCTGCACCATGCAAGGAGTGCAGCCGTTTGGTCAGGGGCCTATGTTAGAAGGGTCTGGCCCAGGCTGGTGCCAACACCTCCAGGTGGCTTGGTACAGGTCTCTGCAGCCACAGGCCCCACTCTGGAGCTCGCTCCTTTCATGCAGGAGTGAGGGCCCAACCCTTCCGCAGAGCACGAATTCAGCCCCCGCCACAGCCCAACCTGCCCTCACCCTCTTTAGCAGGGACCCTTCCCTTTGAGCAGGCACCTCCCATCTAAAATGAAAAGGCAAAAGCTGTTCTGAGCCAGCCCTGTTCTGGGGAACACCCAGCCACAGGCTCCCCTCTCTGGGGGACTCCTGCTGCAGGTGGGGAGAGGGCCTGGGACTAGGATGTGCAGACTCAATGCCCTCCTGCCAGGAGATAGCCACATGACACAAGCAGACTGTGCCACCGCCCTGGACGCCACTGCCTTAGGCTCCCAAAGGGCCTCTTGTGCCAGTGGAAGCTGGAGATAAAGTAGGGACCCTCTCCAGGTGGGGCAACAACCAAAGCCCTCCTGCCTTTTGCTTGGCTCTGCTTAGCAGGGCACAGGTCCAGTGGGTGTCCGCTGCTGCCCCCACCCTCTGCTCCTGCAGGCCAGGTGGGCTGGTGGCATGACGATTGCAGGGACACTCCAGCCCCAAGGCACAGCTCATAGGGCTCCCCTACATGTAGGCAGGAGTCCCCGCTTCACAGCTGAGGAAGGGGCAGCATCTGTGATGCCCCACGATGGCCCATTGCCCCTGAAGCCAGGCCCCCACCAATGGCAAGGGGTGTCCCTCCAGCACCTTTTGGTCTTCATGCCACCATAAGACACCCGTGTAGGCCAGGTGTGGCAGAGCCTGGAGGGAGCCCCAGAAGCTCTCTGCCCCACGAGAGAAGGCCAGGTCTCCAGCCCCACTTCCAGCCAGCCACGGGATGGCGTGGGGGACCCTCCCTGTTGCCCTCTGTCCTTGGGCTCCACCTGGAGGGTGAGCAGGGTTCCGGTGGGGTGCTGGAGGACACACATGGATACCCTGCCCCACAGACTGGTCTGGCCTTTCCTTCACTACTGCCCTTTTGGGGCCCACTCTGTCCCCAGGACTCCAGAGCCCAGATCCAGCCCCACCTTCCTGCCCCACCTCCCAGCAGAAAAGCCCTCAACTTGTCTACCCATGAGGGATCCTCCCAGCCACACTGCACTGCTCTCTGCCCAGCAGAGGGGTCTCAGCTCCCCTCCCACCCTCACATGCCTGGCAGTGGGGTGTCCCACATAGTCTTTCCTACCTGCCCAGGCAGGACCCTCAGTGACGGCGGCCCCCTCCCTCTGCACTAGCTCCTCATGATGCATCTGGACAAGATTTACATGGAAAGAGCCCTGGCGGCTGGTGCCAGGGCAACCCTGGGGACAGAGGGAAGGCAGATCTGGAGATGCCAGGCAGGGCGCTCGCCCTCCTGGGACCTAACGTCACACATCGGGAGATTAGGCAGCACTCAGAGCCCTGAGGCCCCTTCCCAGGGCAGCAGTCCTCACCCCCACGCCCCGGCTTCTGCCTGCCCTGCCTGGCTGGGCCCAGTCCTTGCAGGAAACCAGTTCAGGACAGTGGCTCTGGGCAGGGTGGTGCTGGGTGAACTGGGTGGGGATCCTGGGAGGTGGAGAGATGCAGGAAGCCTGGTGGCAGGAGGGAGGGTGATCTGAGGGCACCTGGAGGCCCTGGGGGAGCTAATGCTGCCAGGCGCCGAGGCAGGGTGGAGATGGAGGGTCAGGGCACTTCCACAGCCTGGGCGGGTGGGTGGGGCTCTCAGCCTGTGCCGCTCAGCAGACCCTGAGTCAGCCCTGGGCGTGCAGGTTCAGTCCATCGGGACGGGGCAGGCCCTGGCGTGACTGGAACAGGCTCTGGGTTTGGGGGTCACCACACCCTCCTGGAGACCCCCACCCTTACTCTGTCCTTGCCTTGGCACATACGTGGTGTGGTAATTCCTCTCTGCGGGGGTCACAGAGTAGGTTCATGCCCACGATTGCATCTGCTGCCTTTTGGGGGCAGTCAGGGGTGAGGTCTCTGAGGACAGGTAGGGAAACGGAGATAAGGGAAGCCTATCCCTTGTACAAAGCCCCGCCTGGGGTGGGCAGGCCTCGAGGGATGACCTGGCAGTCAGGGCAAGTGCTGCCTGCCACGGCAGAGTGCCCAGAGCCCATGTCAGCAGGCCCAGGGACGCCCCGCTGGGCACACCCTGGCTCTGTTGGGGGCAAACACAGGCTCCTAGGAACAGGCATGGCTTGTCGTGGGCCAGTGGGTGTCCGATGACCCCCGGGCCAGGGCCAGTGCCAGGCCACTCCTGGGAGCAGGAGCCAGCCCAGGTCACTGAGCCTGAGGCCTGCTGACCCGCAGGCCTTCCCAGTTCTGGGGAGCCCAGGACGATGGCCCCGGAGAGACCCCAGTCTGTCCTCCCCATCACAGTTGAGGTCTCAGGATGTCAGGCTGCACAGGCACGTGGTGAGAGGTTGGGGACAAGAAGTCCTCCTGCCCTTCCTCCAGCTTCAGCCTGGGATTCCCACAGCACAGGCGTCCGAGGAGGGCTGGACAAAGGGGGACAAAGGGAAGCTGGTACAGTCAGGCCGGGGTTGTGCACAAAGGCAGAGCCTTCAGGTCCAGGCCAGGGTCTGCCTTGCCATGGGAGCCACCAGCCGAGGCTGACCATGAGGCTGGCTGCTGAGGAGGGACCAAACATCAGGGCCAGCCCCGCCCTTCCTGGAGAGGGACTGGGACCTTCCCTTGGGGCTGCCTCGGGCTGCAGGTGGATGCCAGGCCCCTCAGCATGGTGTGCAGGGCAGTCGGGAGACTGCTGCCCTCTCACAGGGCTTCCTCCTCTTGCACAGACGCACCGGTGCCTCCAGCCCCACCGGTCTCCCTCCTCTCCTTTCCTGGCCCCTGCTGGCCCAGTAGATGGGTCTATGGATCCTGCCACAGGGGGCCTCTCAGGGTCTGCTTGTCCCAGGCAGCCCGGCCCTGAGCCCTAAGTCCTGTCACCATCCCCCCAGTGCTGAGCCCCCAAGGCAGCCGCGCTCACTCTGTCTTTCCTACCTCATGGAGATAAGTGATGGGCAGAAGAGCCAGGGTTGAGTGTGTGCCACAGGACAGCTCTGCTTAGGCATGGCTCCCACCACAGCCCCTCAGGCCAAGCTCCAGGGTCCTCATGTCCAGCCGGCAGGCCTCTCTCTGCCAGGCACCCCTCGGCTGCCCTGCTCCTCTAAAAGCAGAGCTGAGGCACCTGAGCTCAGGGAAGGCCATGGGCACATCCATCCTTCAGCCACCACTCAGGGTCCTCTAGGGGCTGCAGAGTCCTGCATTTACCTAAGATGCCCACTGCTGCCCCTACAGGTGGAGAGGAAGCCCAGGCCTGTTGCTCCTAGGAAAGGAGCCCCTGCATGGCCAATGGGCTGAGCCACATGCTGTGAGCTGCCATGGGCGGTCACTCATGTTGCACACTGCACAACTCTGGGGGGTGCTGTCACAGAGCCATGGCATGAATGATGGCCCCTAGAGGTATAGCAGCTGCAGGGACACATCATGCCACCTTTCCACTGTTTGCCAGGTAAGGGACAGTAGATTAAGGTACGCCCCCAACTTTCAGAAGCACAGTGAGGCAAGGGTGCAAGCGAGAGAGAAGATACAAAGATGGACGGCGCAGAACACCTGCCTTGAGTGACCTGTACCCAAAGGCTCAGATCAGGCTGGGGGCCCAGAGTTAGGGGTACGCAGGGAGCCTGGTAGCCCCCTGGCACTTTCTACCTGCCTCCAGGTTTCTCCTGGGGTCTTCCCCTCTGTGGTGGAGCCTTGGGTCAGGACACTGGAGTCTCCCCTACCACTCTCTGCCTAGTCTGGCTGGTCACTCAAGTCCCTAGGGGACATCCCTGCCAGCCGCCTTCCTGGTGGCAGGGAGTTCAGGAAAAGAGGCTGTCTCCATACTGGACGAGGGAAGAGGGGACAAGGCCCACTCAGGAACCAGACACAGCTCTGACCCCTGCTTTGTCCCTGTGGGTCTAGCCAACTCACCCCTCTGGGGGCCAGGGAAGGCACGGCCCTGTGGCCAGCCCTGTCCCCACTGCCCCACTCAGGACCCTCCCCTCCAGGAGGCTGTGCGCACCCTCAGACCACCCACAGCACATCTCGGGGCCGCTCCTCAGTCCTCCCACCATTGCTGCTCTCTCCAGGCATTTTATATATGTACCTATATTTATAAGTAAATATCTCTCTACATCTTTCTCCATATCATCTGACTATCTATAGTCTGCCAGGGCTGCCAAAACAAAATACACAGCCTGGACAGCTTCAACAATGGATTTTTTTTTTTTTTTGGAGACATGGTCTCACTCTGTCACCCAGGTTGGTGTGCAATGGCGTGATCTTGGCTCATGGCAACCTCTGCCTCCTGGGTTCAAGCTGTTCTCCTACCTCACCCTCCCCAGTAGCTGGGATTACAGGCGCCTGCCACCATGCCCAGCTAATTTTTGTATTTTTAGTAGAGACTGGGTTTCACTTGGCCAGGCTAGTCCTGAACTCCTGACCTCAAGTGATCCACCCACCTCAGCCTCCCAAAGTGCTGGAATTACAGATGTGAGCCACCGCACCCACCCGCTCCCCTCCAGGTGTTAAGGACCCGGCTCCTGCAGTCCTCCTGGGCAGGCAGGTGTGGCCTCCTGCATTTGACCTGTGGCTCCTCCAAGCCCTCTCCTCTCCCAGCGTCACCCTGGTTGGGCCTCCACAGGCACTGGGAAGGTGAGGTGTGGGCTGAGCTGGCGTGGAGTGGCCACTCAGTAGCTGGGGACTCCTTGGAGGCAGCCAGGGGAGGGCTGTGCTGTGACCTGGGGCTGGGCTGAGGGGCAGGGCCAGTTCCGGGGGCCTCTGCCCACCTCCTTGCCTCTGGGTTGCCACCCCGCAGCTCCTCCCCACCACGCCGGCGCCATGCTCCTCCCCACCACGCCGGCGCCATGCTTCTCCCCACCACGCCGGCGCCACGCTGCTGACACCTGCAAGGCCTCTCCACACACAGGCTTTGTCCTTGCTCCTCACCTCCACACTGCCCAGATGGCGCATGCCCTGCCCCTGCACTGAGCTTGTCACCTGCGCGTGTCCCAGCCTTGCCCTCCAGCCATCATCCTGCTCCTGTCCACCCCGTCCCTAAACCCTTGGGATGCCACCTGCCATCTGCCTGGCTTGGGGGCTGTCCATTGACCTTTGACCTGCCAGGGCCCCCTCCACTCCCGGCCCACTTGGCCACTGCCCTGCAGTCCACAGGTCCCTTAATGCCATGGATGACTCCTCTGGCCACAGCGTCTGCTTGGCCCAGTGTTCCCAAGGAGGCCCCTTTCTCTCCTGCGATGCAGCTCCCATCGTCAGCCCTACCTGCAACAGCACCTGGGACGAGGCTTGCTACCTCCCATGCTCCAGAGCCTTCTCCCCACAGCATTAGCAGACTACATCTCTGACGGTGCCATGCCCCAACGCCACTGCACTCTACCCGCTTCCCCCTCAGCCCTAGCTGTGCCAGGCCCATGCTATACCACCTCCTGGTTAAGCTCTCATGCAGGATTGGGGAGGAGGGGACAGTGGAGTGGTTGTTTGCACCTCTGCCCCTGGAATGGGAGCAACCAGCTCTCCTGCCTCTGTGTCCATCCCCAGCCCTGGCCCAGCGCCTGGCTGTCAGCGAGCTCACGCCAGACAGTGAAGCGAGCAGAGTGGCGAGCGCCGGGGGAGGCTGACGGTGCTTCTCAGAGGCTGTGAGGCTCCTGGGGCCCAACCTCTTGGCACTGGCACCCAATGGCAGTTTGTATGACAACTATGCCCGGCACAGAGCAAGGGGCCCTGGCGCCCAGTGTGCACGCACCTGTGACTACCAGTGTGGTGCGGTGGGTTCAGCCACTTATACTGTTTCACTCCCTTCTGGGCTCTGCTTGCAGGCTCCCACCATTCACTCATTCCTTCAACCCAAAGGAATTGTTCTCTGCCCCTTTTGGTAGTGGGGTGAGGCCTGGGACAGAACCGACAGGTATGCAGGTCTCGGCTGCCTGGGACTGGTGTTCCCGCAATGAGGCAGGGCTGTGTTTAACTGCAGGGACCCTCTGTCCTGGAGCCATGGCCCAGTGACCAGCACCATCACCAGTGCAGAGGTGGGGTAGGGGAAGACCCCTTTCTAGAAGCAACCCCAGGCACTCCCCGGCCAAGGCAGCTGCCCCTCCGACTCCCAGAAGGTCTCTGGTGCACCCTGGAGCCTGAGGCAAAGCGTTACCTGATGGCCCCTTGGAGACAGCGCCCAGAGCCACGACAGCCACAGCACAGGGGCCCTCAATGCACAGGATGCCAGCTCCCACCTGGCGCTGCCACACCACAGAAGACACTGTGGGAACAGCCTGTGGTCTCACACCCCTGCATACATGGCCACAGCTTTCCACCCCTGTCCGCCAGCTGGACACGGGCTCTAGCTAGAGCTGGAGGGCATGGGAGGCTGGGAGTGCACTATGGAGACCCAGGGCAGGGTCCTTCAGCCCATGTATTGGGCATGGCCAGACATAAACAGCCCAGTGCCCTGAGGTCTGCACTGCGGCAGAAGGACGGGGATTCTAAACCAGGCCAGGGCTCACCAGAGCCTTGTGGTCCTGGGCAGGGAGCCCAGTTATCCAGAGGAAGTAGCTTGGAGATGGAAGGAGGAACTAGGGGGTAAAGGCCAGGCACTGCCAGCCTGGGAATGGGGGTAGGGGAGGCCCAGCTGTGCCTGTCCTCAGCTGCCCATCTGAGGGGTACGAGCCGGACGTGCAGGTGGGGCACACAGGGGAAGGAAACGCCATGGACATGAGGGAGGAAGCACAGGCGGAGGTGCCTGGGGACCCCTCGGAAGTAGGATGGGGTGTCCGTGCCCAGAGAGGAGAGAGGGAACACAGGACCCCAGCACAGAGAGGCAGGCAACGTGATGGGGCCGCAGAGCAGGGAGGGCAGACCTGGCTCAGAGGAGACTCAGCCTGGAGGGGAGAGAGGCTCAGGAGCAGTCAGGGGAGCAGGCAAGGAGGAAGATGGCACAGTGGGGCCAGGGGGCATAGTGCAGCCTAACAGACCCAGAGCCACCCTGGAGTGGAGGAAGGACGGCCCAGGTGTGAAGGTCGGGGTGTGGGCACGAGGTGGGGGATGCACAATATAGGCTCAGCCTGGAGAAGGGAGGCTGTCCAGGAAACAGGTCCTAAAGGTGGACTCAAGGCGAGAGACTGTGGGAGGCGAGGACACTCTCAGGGGCCCCCAGGTGCACTCTGACCACAGGCCCCAAACGACCAGGATGGGAAAAGAATGAGGCGAGCCGTGCGGGGCTTTGGGCAGCCCCAGATCACCTCTGGGCAGGGTGGAAAGTCCATGTCCAGGGTGAGCAAAGCAGGGACTCTTGCCAAGTGCCAGGAACCACCAGGGGGTTTGGGAGCTGGGCTCGAAGTGATGGCTCTGCTGGTGCAGGCGTCAGCAGAGGGCAGAAGCAGAGCCTGGGTGCGCAGAGGCTTGGGCAGCCAGGGAAGGAGCATAGCCAACACTCAGGGTGGCCCCAGGCCCAGGCGACCCTTCGGGAACTGGGGAGCAGAGCAGACTGGTTGCCAGGGCTGGTAGCTTCAGCCCTCCTGGCAGCCAGCCTGTCTCCCAGATGCGGCCCAGCCTGCTCTGCCTACTGCATGCACTTTTACCACCTGGACCACTCCGCCCTTGCTCTGTCCTCTGCTCAGCCCCTCGAGTGAGAGGGCAAGGTTTGGCCTCTGTGTGCCTGGAAACCCCCATGTCGGGTACCTTCATTTGGCTTCAGGCATCCACACTCCAAGTAAGAAAAGAGGCAGTCTTCCCTGGGGAGATCCAGCCAGATCCTCACTCTGCCAGCCTCTGACGACATGGGGTGGTCAGACATGGTATGCATAAGAACAGGGGAGATGCTGGGAGCCCGGTGGCAGGGGAAAGCCCCCACCGCTAAGAGGAGAGATGGCACTGTGAGGTCGGGGATCACTGAGCATTCGCAGAGAGCCTGGGGCTGGGGCCCCAAAGAAGACAGGTCCCTGACCTTCCCTTTGCAGAGCAGCACCCCGCTGAGATCCAGCTCGGTCCCTGCACTCACGGGTGGGGACAAAGGGCCAGGCCCTTGGCTATCATGGTGGGCACGTGGCACCCGTGGGGGCTCCAAACGTGGCAGTGACTCTCATTCCTCCGCACTTGAGCCTCCGTTCCCCTGTGAAGGAGCGCTTCAGGATGCTCCTGCCTCACTGGCTTTTGAGGAGGCTGGAGGGGGACAGCTGTGGGCTCCAGGGACAAACCTCTTTTATTCCCACCGGCTTGGAGAGCCAGGCGCTCTCTCAGGCTGTGGGGTGGCCTGGCGGGGGCAGCCTGGTGGCCCGAGTGTGGGATGGGCTCCAGCCTGCTGCGCCCTCCGCGCTCCTGTCTGTAGCTGCGAGTGAGCGGGGCTGTGGGGGGACAGAGCGGGGGCACAGCAGGGAGGGCCCAGATCCAGAACCACCTCCACAGCTGGCAGTGGAGCGGGCTGAACGCTTGTAGAGCAGCTGTGGCGGCCCCAGCCCGCCCTGCAGAAGTGCACGGCGTCCACCAGAGCCGGCAGCTCATAGGGAGGGGCCTGGGCCTCAGGGGAGCAGAGGTCTGAGGAGGGTGGGGAGCCGCGGCTGCCCCACGCTGAGGGCGCCCTGGAGGGTGAAGAGCGGTAGAGCGCTGGACACGCCCCCTGGCGGCCGGGGACGAGGTGGCGGGCAGAGGCAGCGTGGAGGGAGCATGGACGGAGGACCACCTCTAGGACCTGGGGGATCTCCGGAGCGAGAGACGAGCTTGCCTGCTGCTTAGGACGGAGAGCGAGTCGGGGAGGTCCCCCACGGTTCCAGGAAGAACTTTCCAGGAAGCCACAGCCCCTTCCGGCAGGATGGGCTCAGACAGCCCTGAGCCACGCAGGGTGCTGGGCTGACTCCCTTCTCTGACAGGGATCGTCGCGAGCCCCAGCCCTCCTCTCCGGAGCTCAGGAAGGAGGCCACAGAACCCGGAGAAGGGGCTGTGCAGGGGCCCTTGTTCCATTATTGGCAACAGCCCCAGGCGGACTCCAAACCCCAGACGCATGCGTCCCAAAGTAGACCCCTTTGTGCCTGGAGCTGTAAGTCAGCCCATGGGCAGCAGACTTGGCTGCCCTGGCATGGGGCAGGCAGCTCCAGGGTGGCAGCCGAGAGAGTGCCCAGTGTCCAGCTCAGTCAGAACAGATGGGGGCGCTGAGAGCAGCCGCGGGCTGTCAGAGGCCCCGCCCTCGGCCCTGGGGGACAAAGCGGGTCTGGCCTCCTCGGTGGCACTGCCAGCCACCAGGTCACCCTGGCCAGAAGTCTGTGGCCCTCCCTCTCCCATGTCTGGCTAGGATCATCCCAAGCACCCTCCCTCAGGCCCGGCCCCAACTGCCCCCCAGGACGGCCTGGCCCCCTTCCACCTCTGCCTCTCCTTGGCTGACTCACCGGGGTCAACCCCACCCAGCAGGCAGCTTTCACCCCCTCCACCACCTGCCGACCATGCGGGGAGCCAGCTAAGCCCTGTCCCAGACCCAGACAGGCCCCAGGTGATCACTGCAAATGAGGAAGGGGGGTGTCTCGAGGGTCCTCAAACCACCCTGGGGCTGAGTCCTCCGGTTCCCCCATGGAGGGTCCAGCGTCACGCCGATGGCATGCGCCACCCCCTGAGGATCGGGTGTCCCCAACTCAGCGACTTGTATTTATAGCTGTGCCCTGGCCCGCTGCCCAGATGGTGGAGGAGGGGTGGGTGGAGGGAGGGCGGTGTGTGTGGGTCGGGGGTTGTGTGAGTGGTGCGTGTGCGTGCATGGGTGGGGTGGCCCTGGGAAAGGTGCTCCCGGAGGGAAGGCATCCAAGCGGGTGAGTGACCGGCCAGGGCATGGGAGGACAGGGGCCGTCTGGGTCCGGGGAGGGGGGC